ATTGGCTTCCTGTAGTAAGAGCTTGGCCTGTGTAATAAAACAGAGAGGAAGTTTTATACACGGTAGAGATGGCAGGTTTAAAAGGATAACAGAAAAGTACTATTTCCATGACCAAGTACATCAACCCAAAAATCTTCAAAATCTCTGATGTTTCATTGCTTCTTTTTTTATCATATCCATGGCTATCAAGTGGTGTAAAAAAATCTGCATTACCTTATTCTTTTGTTTTTCTTTAAATTAAAAAAAAAAATAATAATAATGTAGCACACCTTCCAAAGCAGCTGAAGTTGTGAGTCCCTGAATATCATTACTTAATAAGCAAGAGGCTTACAGTGACCCCACAGTTTCAAGAAGCTAGAATGATAAACAAGCAAGTAAAACACATTCTCCAGGGTACCAAAAATGCACTGTATGTTTTGTTTCAGAATACCTTCAAATGCAGACTTCTTTGGTTGTTGTGATGCTACACTGGCAGCAGCTGAGGAATCAGCCCAGGAGTCCCATCCACCCAAAAGGTCTGGGTGACTTGCAGAGGAAGTTATTTTAGCTGGCTCTTGTGTCAGATTTCCTAGAAAATAATCCATATTGGAAAACTAAACACAGGGATGATTATAATTTTATGGCAAGAGCACTAACAGGACTACTATTTGGATTTCCAGTTGGGGAAATCTTAATCTGCTTAAGAATCGCTGTGTAGTTTCGATTACTGACAGTTACTTCCTGGAAGGGTTTTGCTCATTGAAGACATTAAGCTGCAACTGAGTTTTATTTAAACACTTTGCTGGAGGTGGTTACTTTCCTGAAGTATTGCTGTTTTGGAGCCACACGCTATACTATAAAGCTTACGTGGAAGCAATTACCTCATGTCCTTTTGTCTGGAAGAGATGCATTTAATTTCAGAATCTGCAGTCTAGCACATTGGAGTGCAAACATGTCAAAACATTATTCAGTTCTACTATCTTCTATAAAAAGATAGGCCCAAGCCAAAACCCCAGATATAAACACCCCCATTCACTCTCTGCTGCTGAATTTCAAGACAGTCTGAACTGTATGCCCATGGCCCATTACAGCATCCTTACATCTTTTGACCCTGGAAATAATCACTCGATATAATTCAGTGCCTCATACCCATTGTTACAAATGAGCCTGAAGGTCAGATCACAAAAATTGGCAGCAAACAGATTATACCATGCAACAGCCTAAAATGAGACTAATTTATTATTAAGGCCTAGGCACAATGCCTCACAATATAGGTTTACTTAAATTGTGTCATCCATTTAAGAAGTCTTTAACCACAGAGGACAACAACATTTTCCTGTGAATCAAGAGATTTGTTTAGGATGATGCGAGAAGTTTGTCTGGGACCTTCCTCATCGCTATACGAAGCTGTTCTCTCTCACTCAGGTTCTCCTGGCTCACCATTTCTGCTGATGTCCCACGGCCACTCCAATGGTGGAACACATTCATCTCAAAACTGTGGGTTATTTTTAACAAATACTGACCCTGCTATCAACTCAATAAGCCTAAAATTGCTTCTCAGTTTAAAAATGCTTACTAGACTTGCGTCATGCTCTGCAGTGACAGTGCCTTGACCATGATTTCCCCATGCCTTTTGCTAAGAAAGATTCTCCTCCCTTACACTTCCATCTCAGATCACTTGTATGCCACTCTATGCTTTCTTAGCACAGTGGGCTTTGCTTGTTACATTAAATCACACCTCTCACTTCACCTAGAAGAACAGCACCATAATAATTTTAGTACTCTTTTTTTTTAGTGTAAAAAAAATAAAAAAAAAA